TGAGTAAGTAATCACTAAGGCGATTGTATCACATTCGTCTAGATTGTTTCAATCCATATAAGGATCATTGTAATTTTATCGAGTACATATTACGTGGTTTTGTTTCAAACATTTTAAATCCTTCTGGGATTTTCATATAAATATCACTATCTAGTAATCCATATAAATATGCTGTAACCACGTCCATTAGATGCATATGCAATCTTTCTATGACTGCTAAATGTATTATGAATCTAAATGTGGGTGTATTGATCACAGGGGAATATGTTTCCTCTTAATCAATACCAGGTCTCTGTAAAAAACCTTAAGTTACCAGTCGGGTTTTGTATATCATGATTTCATTTTTCTCATTACACTTTCGTACAAATACCCATTTGTACCCAACAGGATTAACACCCTCAGGTGTTTGGACTATAGGTCCAAATAATTCACGTTTAGCTAATGAATTTAGTTCTGCTTGTATCGTTTTTTTTCCATTTTGGCCAATCATTTCTTCATCGACATTCTTTGACGTTTTGAGATTTCAGATCCTCATTATCAATATCAAGAGTAACGACATATAAGAATATGTTGTCGACAACAATTTCATTTCTATTCCATCTCATTTCATAGTTTAGTGAGATTTCATCATTTTCAGCTACCTTTGCCTCCTCAAGGGCCATATCATCATCTGTTGCCTTTATCTCATCAATATTTATTATTTCATCATTTTAGGTACCTGGGTCATATCATCATCTGTTGCTCCTTTTGTGGCCTCTTCAGGAGTGCCAATTTTTCTTTGTAATTTCCTCTTACGAGGAGCAGTATCTTTTGCACCGACTGGTCTGTCACGCTTCAGGCGTGTTTTGGATGCATTTGTTGCATTACTGACAGAAGGTCCCTCAGGGACAGCAATTCATGCTGGAATATTTGCAGCTGGTATATGTGATTTTATTACTTTCTTTGTATCAGTAAATATATTAGGTAATTGATTTGTAACATTTTGCAAGTGAATGATCCTCTTAACTTCTCGTTCACATTGATTTGGGCGAGGATCAAAATGAGACAATTCCAGGGCATTCCAAATAATATTATGTTGCTGTTGTGCCTTTTCTCTCCATAATGGTGGGAAAATAGCCTCATCAAAATAACAGTCAGCAAATCGTGCTTTAAAGACATCACCTGTCAGGGGTTCAAGATATCTAATAATAGATGGAGAATCAAAACCAACATAAATTCCAAGTCTATGTTAAAGACTCATTTTAGTGCGTTGGGGTGGTGCAATTGGAACATATACAGCACAACCAAAAATTCGAATGTGAGAAATATTTGGTTGTTGACCAAAAACAAGCTGCAATGGTGAGTACTTATGATAAACAGTTGGTCGTATACAAACTAATGATGCAGCATGTAATATGGCATGTCCCCAGGTAGAAACAGGTAATTTTATTCGCATAAGTAAAGGACGACCAATTAACTGAAGTCTTTTAATAAAAGATTCGGCCATACCATTTTGAGTATGAATGTGTGCAACAGGATGTTCAACATTAATTCCAACTGACATGCAATAGTCATCAAAAGGTTGAAAAGAAAATTCAACGGCATTATTAAGACGGATTGTTTTAATTAGGTAATTAGGAAAGTGTGCCCGTAATTTGATGATTTGAGTAAGAAGTCTACCAAATGCAACATTACGAGTAGAAAACAGACAAACATGTGACCATCGTGTTGAGGCATCAATTAAGACCATAAAATAGCGAAATGGTTCACAAGGTGGATGAATTGGCCCACATATATCCCCGTGAATTCATTGTAAAAATGGGGGAGATTCAATAATGACTTTTGAAAGAGATAATCTAATAATCAACTTACCTTGTGAGCAGGCGGTGCATAGATGATCATTTGGTAAAATGATTTTTTGATCATTTAGTGGGTGTCCATGTGAATTTTCAATAATTCGGCACATCATTGTACTCCCCTGGTTACCAAGTCGATCATGCCAAAGTATAAAAAGTTTTGGGTCACAAGATTTTTTATGTATCACAGCATTTGACTCAATTATTCTAATGATTGTATAATATAACCCAGAAGAAAAAACAGAGAGTTTTTCTAATATCGGTGTCATTTCACACCGATAACAAGTATTATCACGTGCCTTGGGAGTTTGAGCCACATCCTTCCCTTTTACTTGTTTCATTTCATTATAATCTCTCCTTTGGGGATATGGTGTGGATCTCTAATTACGAAAATTTGAGAATTGATATCGTTCACGGTAATATGAGTGATTTTTACCACGACCATATTCATTATTATGGTAGTTATTTTTACTACGACCATATTCATTATTATAGCCATTTCTACCACCACGACCATGTCCACGTTCACGGGATGAAGCAACATATGTTTCAGGGATCGGTGTCGATCCAGTTGGACGAGACTGGTGGTTTCTTAACAAAAGCTCGTTATTTTGCTTTGCCACAAGTAAACATGATATCAGTTCTAAATATTTTTCAAATCTATGTTCTCGATATTGTTGTTGTAAGAGTACATTCGAGACGTGAAATGTGGTTAATGTTTTTTCCAACAAAAGTTCACCAGTGATGGTATCACCACGCAATTTCAGTGTAGAGCTGATTTTAAATAGGGTAGAGTTATATTCAGCTATAGTTTTAAAATCTTGCAACTACAGTTGCTGCTAATCAGCTTGGGCCTTTGGGAGGATAACTGTTTTTTTAATGATCATATCTTTCTTTCAAATTTTTCCACAAACTCAGTGGATCTCTTTCAGTGAGATATTCAGTTTTTAACTCCTCACTAATATGGCGCCGAAGGAAAATCATAGCCTTCGTTTATTTTGTAATGATGCATCATTCTCTTCTTTAATTGTGTTTCTGAGGCCCATAACATCTAAATAGATCTGAGCGTCCAGAATCCAAGACAAATAATTTTTTGCCAGAAATGTCCAAGCCCACGAATTTTAGCTTTGTCAAGTTTGACATTTTCAGAATAACTAGACGGGACAACAAGATAGAAATACAATTTAGCATAGTATATAAATAAATAAAATGGTATTAAATGAAACATTAACATAGTACGAACTATTTAAACAACAAAGGCGGTAAAACCAGCCATAATGAATAAATTATTAAATAATAAAGACGGTAAAACCGGTCATACATCATTAAGTAATAAAGGCGGTAGAACCGACCATAATTAGTAGATAATAGAGACGGTAAAACCGACCATCATTAAATAATAAAGGCGGTAAAACCGACCATATTTAGTAGATAATAAAGGCGGTAGAACCGACCATAGTTAGTGGATAATAAAAGCGGTAGAACCGACCATAATTAGTAGATAATAAAGGCGGTAGAACCGACCATCATTAAATAATAAAGACGGTACAACCGACCATAGTATGAGCACATATATCACTTAAGTAAACAAATTAATTTCATAAACAATAATCAATAATTAAAATTTTCTTACCTTTTAGAATCAGAAATACAATTTTCTTCGATAAAGCAAACAAACCCTACAATTTATCAAAATTAATATCACAAAAAAGATATATAGTTAAGATAAAAAGAGGGAGAAAGAGTTTCTTTTTCAAATCACAGATAGATAGAGCTCATACTGATAACGTCTTATAAATCTAATATTAATTATGAAGTGGAAGAAACGAAATAAGCATATCTCTCGTATTTACATCTCACTCTCTCTCATCTTCCATATTTCATATTTGTTTATATATATATATATATATAAACAAATATGAAATATGGAAGATGAGAGAGAGTGAGATGTAAATACGAGAGATATGCTTATTTCGTTTCTTCCACTTCATAATTGCATACAGATGGTGTCTATTTATAGCTGCAAAAAACATAGGCAACAAACAGCTTGATAAACAAACTGCGCACCAATGCTTCATATCACTTTACAAGTACAAATGGACCCCAACATAATCATATATATATATAACAAAAAGCAATTTATTTACTATTTTAATAATTACTAATTTATCGAAGTTGAAAGTTATTCAAAATGAACTGAAAGAAGATCTACAATATATGTTTGTCACACAAAGGGTTCTTTTTTTACTCAACTATGGCGGCCTATATATAGTATTCTTTTTGTGAAAAAAAATAATAATATTAAATTTGTCATTGCTCTTGCATTCTATTTGTTAATTGCAATATTTATTTGGTTTCAAGTTTCCAAACACATTTGTTATTTTGTTCTTTTTCTGAACGCTGAGTTCTTGCAATTTTATTTATTTTTCTGAATGGATTGCATATAATTGTTGCATTCAATTTGAAATTGAAAAAAAATTAGTTAATCAAACATTAAACTATGTTCTTTAATATATATATATATATATATATATATATATATAATAAAATAAAATAAACACTCAACCATGTGGCCGTACTTACTATTGTTAATGATTATTGCTGCTATTTATTGGTGGACTATTCAAAATATGGCTAAATACATTTCTTCGTCCTGGACTCAACGGGTGAATTTCAAAATTATGGAACTATTTGGCTTGGTTTTTGAAAATAGTTTTGGAGAAATACAGAAAGTCAATTATGTACTACAGTGGAGTATGAATTTTTATTTTTATTTTTATTTTTTGGTCCAGCAAAAAATACAGATTGTAGATCCACTTTGCCCTTTGAAACTCAAATTCTAACCATCTACTTTGATAGTTTAATATGAGTTGATAAAACTAAACCAAAACTAATCATCTACTTTGATAGTTTAGTATGAGTTGATAAAACTAAACCAAAACGCACAAGATTTGCATAAATGCAGTAATGCCAACTCTTTATATTTGATAGACATTTTATGCAGTAATGCCAACTCTTTATATTTGATAGAAATTTTTTAAACTTTCAATTCAAAATTTTCTCTAATCTAAACATATGTCAGTATTATTGGAAGAAAAGAAAAGGTCAAATTAAGAGTATTTAGACAAAGAAATTAACCTAATATTATCGATTTAGCCATGAACAGATCACAAAAATATAAATAAATTTTACTCAAAACTTGTGTACATATTCATATTGAGGAGAATAATAATTCTCCTACCTAATAGTCTAATCAAAATTTTCGACTAACATTTTCGGTTGACATAGAATCGCTAGCATAGGGAAAAAAAAATTAAAATTGAAATGAAAGATTGCGTGTATACAATATATATATATATCTCAATAATTGGGGAGAGGAGAATTAATCGAAGCTGTTTGAAGAAGCTTTTGCGCAGCGGAAAGCTGATTCATTAATGACAAAAAGCGAGCCCGATACGCCTGGGCCTCGTCGACGGACTCGGCCTCAAGCTCGCCGAGCTGCGAGCAGAGCCGCTCCTCCGCATCCTCCGCCACCCTCAGCCTCTGCAACGTCCTCTCCAGCTCTCGCCTCGTCCTCTCCTCTCTCTCCACGCTCTTCCTCAACTCTCTCTCTAACTCCTCGTTCCTCTTCATCAACACCTCCTCCGCCTCCGCCGCTGGTGACGGAGTCCGGCGGTGCGATTTCGTCTGTGCAGAGGACACCGCTATGGTTGAAGCCATTTCCCGAAATAATAGGAATGGTAAAGGGACTGAGATGCTAAGGCTGTGTGTAAGATCAGAAAAGACTGCGTTTTCGGTTAGCAATCAGGAGTTGATGGGCGTTTTATAGGCCCAAAAGAAGATATCCAGGTTCAATGTATCTGATTTATAGGAAGCAAGATGTTTATTAGTTATTTAATAATAAGAGAGATGGCGTCTGCACTTTGCTTCTTTTTTGGTCATTATACATCCAGTGAACCCATTAATTCCAGAATCGTCACCTCATATGGAATTTTGGGTTTGTTTTTTTGAATTTTCTGTATTTGTTAGCTGCAGCTTCTTGCCTATTTCGTGCGTGTGTATGTATGTAATGCATATGAGGTGTGTTTTGTGTATTTGTTTTTTGAGGACAAAAAAATTTGAGAAATGCAAATTGACCATGGACCGTGATGGGTAACAGTCCTCAAAAGAGTGCTGGTATTTTTCCAAGCAAGTTCACTAGACACGGTCCATTTGTAGAGCCTACTCAAAGAAAAGGGTATGGGCCAATTATATATATATATATATATATATATATATATATATATTTTTTTTTTGCAGTCATGGCAAGAATCCATGTTCTTGGGAGACTAGAACCATTTGTACAAAAATTCTATTTGTACAATTTTTTTTATAGAAGAACTGTCCTTTTATGTAAATAATTTTTTGTTTTTTGAGTTTTTAAATAAAATTGAACCAAATAGATTCTATGTTTTTATTTTTTTAATTATTATTATCAAGGTGGTGGTCTTCAAGAGGGGTGTCTAGTTTATAATATACGGACTTGACAAAAATATTAATATTGAGTTTGCTTGGTTTATTACTCTAAAAACAATTCTTAAATAATTTATAAAATAAAATATTATTTTCAAATAATTGTCTTTTTAGTTTTCAAAAAAGTTTAACAAAGCAGATTTTTGTAAATTTTTAATTGTAAAAATTAAAAAAATAAATAAAAACCCTGCTTTCTGAAAAATTAAAAAATTGAAAGCCCTTATTTTTACTTTGTCTAGTCAATAATATGATGACGGGACAAAAATGTACTTCTACTTTTCGGAAGCATTGTCTTGGATTTAGAATTATTATTATTATTATTTTTATATAGCAAGATTGTTAAAGGTTAGTAAATTAATGGAGTGAAGGGTGTAAAGGCTTGAAGTCGATCCTATCACTTAGACTACCAAAGGATTGGATTCACAAATTAATTTTGTGGATTGATGGACCTCACGAGGCGCGAGGTCTAGTTGGCAACCTGCTGAATAGGGAAAATATATCCTCAAAAACAGACTTTAAATATAAACACAAAAAATTATACATGATATAAACAAAACAAAGCAGGTTTTATGTAATGAATTCCAAATAGGTTTTATACCCGTTACAATTTACAACGCATTAAAAATGTTACTTGATATTCTATCTACAATTATGATCATTGTGATTGTCATTCTTATTAGGGCGTATTCGTATTTGTATAGAGTCACTTAAACTATTTTGGAATCATATTTTTAAATATAAGACGTTGGAAAGTATTTAAGCCCCATCATTTCTATCTTATTTCTATATAAATGGTAATATGAATTCTTACTCTTCAAAATTTTCTATTACTGGCCAAATCATCACTATATTTAGCCCTTTTTTTAAAATCATTTTTAACAGTAATCTCTTACTATATTTAGCCTTTTTTTAAAATCATTTTTAACAGTAATCTCTTACCTTCTATTACAAATAATCATCTTTGTCGATCAATGTATACTAAAATTTCAATCCATAAGTGCTGCACTTAATTTTTCCTCTCACACTTTTATTAGTGTCTCATTTAGTCATTTCACTTAACTTTCACTCATTCATCTTAACAACCCTGTAAAAAAATTATTTTAGACATTATATAAACAAAAACAAGCTTAATGCAATGAACCCAAATAATTAGGAATTAGACTTTGTTATGTATATCAATGCATATAGATAATTTGTGAATGATGTTAAAAGTTAAAATCTGAGTGTTAAATGTATTTTAACAATGTCTCTGTTTATATATTATTTAATTATTTGTTGGTATAACATATAAATAAATTTAAACTAAGATATACTTTGATCATTTTCGAGCTAGTTGGCACCTCTCTCTCCTCAAATTCATTATAATCTAGAAAAACGTAATACTTCCAGTATAATATTTTGTGATTCCTAATCTTAATTAGTATCTTGTACCATTTCATTACTACATTCAAGATTTTTAGTATTTTTTTATTTTTATTTTATTTTATTTTTTCCGTTGCGCCGCCTTTCATAGATTGGATTGGCATTGAAACTAGAAGGCGAGGGATCGGTATGAAAGTAGTTGACGAGACCACTCACGTGAAACGTCATACATTAATTCTCCTCAATGAGTTCTTCATCATCCTCTAGAGGACGAAAAGGGTCTTTCTTGATGTCAAGTAATCGGACAACCATTGAAGAGCTCAATGGATGGGCTTTATCCATATAAAAATATTTCAGAACTTTTTCTGTATATGTTGATTGATGGATGAGAATACCGCTCGAAAAATGCTCAACTTGCAGCCCAAGGCAGAATTTTGTCTTTTCGGGATCTTTCATTTTGAATTCTTTTTTTAAATAAGTGGCCGTTTTTTCAATCTTGTCAAATATTCCCACAAGATTCAGATCATCAACATATACTGCAACAATAACAAAACCAGATTCTGATTTGTTAATAAAAATGCATGGACAAAAATGATTGTTCACATACCCTTCTTTGAGTAAGTAATCGCTAAGGCGATTGTATCACATTCGTCCAGATTGTTTCAATCCATATAAGGATCGTTATAATTTTATCGAGTACATACTACGTGGTTTTGTTTCAGGCGTTTTAAATCCTTCTGGGATTTTCATATAAATATCACTATCTAGTGATCCATATAAATATGTTGTAACCACGTCCATTAGATGCATATGCAATCTTTCTGTCACTACCAAATATATTATGAATCTAAATGTGGGTGCATCGATCACAGGGGAATATGTTTCCTCATAATCAATACCAGGTCTTTGTGAGAAACATTGAGCTACCAGTCGGGATTTGTATCTCATGATTTCATTTTTCTCATTACGCTTTTATACAAATACCCATTTGTATCCAATAGGATTAACACCCTCAGGTGTTTGGACTACATGTCCAAATAATTCACTTTTAGCTATTGAATTTAGCTCTGCTTGTATCGCTTCTTTCCATTTTGGCCAATCATTTCTTCGTCGACATTATTTGACGTTTTGAGGTTCCGAATCCTCATTATCAATATCAAAAGCAACGGCATATGAGAATATGTTGTCGACAAGAATTTCATTTCTATTCCATCTCATTCCATAATTTAGTGAGATTTCATCATTTTCAGGTACATTTGCCTCCTCAAGGGCCATATCATCATCTGTTGCCTTTGCCTCATCAACATTTATTATTTCATCATTTTAGGTACCTAGGCCATATCATAATCTGTTGCTCCTTTTGTGACCTCTTTAGGAGTGTCAATTTTTCTTTGTAATTTTCTCTTATGAGGAGCAGTATCTTTTGTACCGACTGGTCTGCCACGCTTCAGGCGTGTTTTGGATGCATTTGCTGCATTACTGACAGAAGGTCCCTCAGGGACAGTAATTCGTACTAGAATATTTGCAGCTAGTATATGTGATTTTATTACTTTCTTTGTATCAGTAAATACATCAGGTAATTGATTTACAACATTTTGCAAGTGAATGATCCTCTGAACTTTTTGTTCACATTGATTTGTGCAAGGATCAAAATGAGACAATTCCAGGGTATTCCAAGTAATATCATGTTGTTGTTGTGCCTTTCTCCTCCTAATGGTGGGAAAACAGTCTCCTCAAAATAACAGTCAGGAAATCGTGCTTTAAAGACATCACCTGTTAGGAGTTCGAGATATCTAATAATAGATGGAGAATCAAAACCAACATAAATTCCAAGTCTACGTTGAGGACCCATTTTAGTGCGTTGGGGTGGTGCAATTGGAACATATACGGCACAACCAAAAACTCGTATGTGAGAGATATTTAGTTGTTATTAAAAAAAACAAGTTGCAATGGTGAGTACTTATGATAAGCAGTTGGTCGTATACAAACTAATTATGCAGCATGTAATATGGCATGTCCCCAGGTAGAAACAGGTAATTTTGTTCGCATAAGCAAATGACAACCAATTAACTGAAATCTTTTAATAAAAGATTCGGCCATACCATTTTAAGTATGAGTGTGTGCAACATAATGTTCAACATTAATTCACGTTTAGCTAATGAATTTAGTTCTGCTTGTATAGTTTTTTTCCATTTTGGCCAATCATTTCTTCATCGACATTCTTTGACGTTTTGAGATTCCAGATCCTCATTATCAATATCAAGAGTAACGACATATAAGAATATGTTGTCGACAACAATTTCATTTCTATTCCATTTCATTCCATAGTTTAGTGAGATTTCATCATTTTCAGCTACCTTTGCCTCCTCAAGGGCCATATCATCATCTGTTGCCTTTATCTCATCAATATTTATTATTTCATCATTTTAGGTACCTGGGTCATATCATCATCAGTTGCTCCTTTTGTGGCCTCTTCAGGAGTGCCAATTTTTCTTTGTAATTTCCTCTTACGAGGAGCAGTATCTTTTGCACCGACTGGTCTGTCACGCTTCAGGTGTGTTTTGGATGCATTTGTTGCATTACTGACAGAAGGTCCCTCAGGGACAGCAATTCATGCTGAAATATTTGCAGCTGGTATATGTGATTTTATTACTTTCTTTGTATCAGTAAATGTATTAGGTAATTGATTTGTAACATTTTGCAAGTGAATGATCCTCTTAACTTCTCGTTCACATTGATTTGGGCGAGGATCAAAATGAGACAATTCCAGGGCATTCCAAGTAATATTATGTTGCTGTTGTGCCTTTTCTCTCCATAATGGTGGGAAAATAGCCTCATCAAAATAACAGTCAGCAAATCGTGTTTTAAAGACATCACCTGTCAGGGGTTCAAGATATCTAATAATAGATGGAGAATCAAAACCAACATAAATTCCAAGTCTACGTTAAAGACTCATTTTAGTGCGTTGGGGTGGTGCAATTGGAACATATACAGCACAACCAAAAATTCGAATGTGAGAAATATTTGGTTATTGACCAAAAACAAGCTGCAATGGTGAGTACTTATGATAAACAGTTGGTCGTATACAAACTAATGATGCCGCATGTAATATGGCATGTCCCCAGGTAGAAACAGGTAATTTTATTCGCATAGTAAAGGACGACCAATTAACTGAAG